ACAGCGCGGCCCATCATTTGGAGAACGTCCATGACTGGGTAGTCGATGTAACGATGCTCCTTGCCCTCATAGAACTGTACACCCATGATGATCACCATGTAACTCGCCACTGGTAAGCTCCAAGCCGTGTCTTTTGACGCAACAAGCAATTGGATAGCTCCTGATTCAAACAGGCGCTGAACGATGCGTTTGTCCTGCTTATTGAGAGCCTCGTGGTAGTACCCGATACCGTGTTTGAGCGTTTCAACGAGGCCCTTGTCGCTGATGTGGTCCAGGTGCGGTTGTAAGTCGTCAAGCTCGATGTTGAGGAATCGATCAGGTTTATCGTCCGCTAGGCAGTGAGTCAGAAGGTCGTCGACCGTAAGGCGGCACTGTCGCCTGGAGGGAACAAAAACGATGACGGGTTTTGAGGGAGAGTACTCCAGAACGGCGAGGTAGGCAGGCTTTGACATGGCGATCATTAGGGAGGGGAAATGGGGGATGGTGAAGGACTGAAGATGTATGTCCATATCAAGGGGACAGGCACTAGTAACAACGTTAGTATGCGGCCTTCGAGGAGCAATGGAAGGGGAATACCTTGGTGAAAAGTTGAAGATCGCGTGAGAAGGTGCACCCATCCACTCGCTCAGATCTCGGGCGTTCGCGAGAGAGACTCCACAAGCGACTATTCGTGTCTTGATTTCTGTCTGCGCAGATACATAACGCGTGCGGGAAATGACGACCTCGTAGGTGGGTCCCACTTCACCACCGACCAACTGGACCTCATCAGCAATAAGAAGACCGATGTTTTGGATGTTTTTGCATTGTCGCCACCGTCGTGAAAGGACGTCCCACTGTTAATAAGTGAGAAAGAAAGTGAAAGTAGAATGGAAAGATGTGACGAACCTGCGTTGGTGTGCAGACAATGACGTCTCCTTTCTCCAAAAGCCTCAGATCAGCACTTGTCTCCCCTGTGAGACCAACGATCTCCTTCCCGCCTTGTAGCTTTTCGAACTTGGCCCGCCATTCCACAACTCATTGATCAACCATTTCTTGATATGGCTCGATACAAACCGCTCGGGGTTGCTCTCTCTTACTCCAGAGACGAAGGAGAGCAAATTCTGCGCAGATTGTCTTGCCGCTACCGGTAGGCGCACCGATGAAAACATTTTCGTCTGTCGTATAAAGAGCTTGGAAAACCTGGGTTTGGATCTTGTTGAAGGTTTGGATCGTCGAGGAGTAGAGTGCTTCGAATTCCTTGTTGTGCAAGGCGGAAAGAGGTAGGGCCTGTAGGTCGAGAAGCGGGGTAGAAGGTGGGAACTTTTCGGGCAAAATGAGATGTTTGAAAGAAATGGGAAGCCGAGTTTCAGCGTGAAGCCAGCGATCCAAGATAGTAGAGATGTAGTAGTTGGGCGGGACAGGTTTGAACAAGGGCACAGTAAGCGTAACGTTATGTTCGTCTTCCGCGTATCGTTGGCGGAGGATGAACGAGTCGTAGAGGAGTATCACCTCTCCATCCACATCTTCGACCACGATAAGGAAGATCTCCGCCGTACCGTGGATCTTTTCATCCCATCAAAAGTCAGGTAAGATGGAAAGATCGATTCGAAGGAGCGACCGAGTGATAGGTTGGACTTGTGCTTGGAGCCTAAAACGAGTTCGTCAATGAGATACTCAAAAAATCAGACATCAATAAGAACTTACTGAAGCTTCGGGAAGCTAAGGACAAGACGGTGCACTAGCCGCCCAGCGTTAGGGATTCCAATGAGTTCACCAATTTCAGGAGGAGTCTAAAGGACTTTGAGCAATGCAGCTCAAAACAACGTTTAGAAAGCGTACCAGATCGAAGTAACGATACCAAGGCTATGAAAGACGTGCATTGTCAGCAACGAAACGATAGGGGACAAATATCACTCACAAATTGTTTGCCTTCTGCCTTTCTTATCACTTCAGCAGGAACGCCCTTGAATTGACGAAGAGGCGATTGAACCCCACCTGATATACTTGTGAACGACGGCTACCTTTAATAACCACGATAACTTACATCCTCTTCTCAACCATCTTGCAAAGGTCAAGAGCTGCTTTAGCAGGCACAGCCCAGCCGCGTTTCAGACATATCTCGAACATAGCCCTCAGGATACTATAGGCGACATAGTGAGCACAAGTCGGGAGATGGAATTAATAAGTACACACCGCCCCGCAGATTGCTGCACAAAGACCATGTCAGCGACAAGGACGAACCCTAGAAGGCTGTAAATATCGTTCCAGTGATGAATGGCCGTATAAACGCTTACCATCGAGCTTGAGTTGCGAGATGTAGGTTTGTAGGAATACATTGATTTTCGCCGCAGGCTCCTCGACGCTTTCTTTCACAGGAATCGGTACCCTCTCGAGTAGCTTTGCGAGCTCCAGCTTTTCCTCTTGTCGAACCTGATGAGAAAATGTCAATGAAGGCACATAAGAGATCACAAAGAAGAACACTTACAGGTACAAACTTAAACTCGTTTGAAAGTGCGGAAACCCTAAACAACTCGAGCGTCGACATCATCGAAAGTAGATGTTGGTTGTAGACCATCATGGAGTTGTACGTTACATAGTAATATGAAGCGATTCGGCCGAGCTCTGTACTTTGGAATCGACCTGACGACCTCTCGTACTTGAGGAGTTGACACTTCTCCAGAAGGACGGCGGCGGAGTGAGCTATGTCAGCGCGCTTCTGGACCCATCAATCATCGTCCTAAAAGCGTCATGAACATTTTGCAGACATTGGTGAAAGAGGGCACGTACCGTACATTTCGTATACGTAGCCATGATACTTCCAATCAAACTCCCTTTTTGTTTGTCGTCCATCTCTCATCTCCCTTGTGGGGTGGTTGATTGCGGCGACAGGGTTTTCAAATCATCCGTGGACGAGGATTACGGCGGAGAAGCGTTTGTGAAATGCGAGGGAGCCGACATAGCCTCACTGATGGAGAGATACGAGGGTTATAAGCGAAGTAGCTGGATGAACAGAGATAGATACGTACTGCTGCCTCAGACCCATCCCATACTGTATATCCCTGGTGCTGGACTTTCCAAAACATTTACCTACTTAGAAACGTCTGCGTAACGCGTGGTCTGTCAATTCCCGTGTTAGGTTGACGTTCAATGAACAGTTACCAATGACAGATTGGGCTCTCACCTGAGCGAGTGTCGAGCAGGGGAGCTGGACAGATTGAGTCCCAAATGTCATCGAGTGTAAATTGGCGGAGAGGATGGACGTCGAGGTTTGGAAGATCATGAAACAGTTGAATGTGTCGGATGTTGTTGTTCGGTTGGCGGCGCTGTGTTGGGCTACAATGTGTGTTGAACGTGTAACATGCGTTACGTGATAGGACAGCGTCAACGTAGAGCATGAGCTGGCTGGAGTTTCAATGGGCTGGTGAACTGCCCTCGGCATCGGTTCTGGAGGTACAAGTGTCTTAGTAGAGACATGGTTGGCATTCGTACTTGAGATACAACACCGTCTTGACCCCTCCTGCACAACTACCTTCTGCTCTGTGCCTCATCAAAAACTCATGCTACAAGTCGTCCTCAGCTCATTGTCGAAGGGACCGGAACGTATCCCTAATGTGCATGAAGAGAGCCTGAGGGGATGGCACGACGCTGACGGTTGCATAGTCAGGAAACTAGTGCTTAGAAGACGATACGCCATGGACGAACCTTACGAATCCGAAGGATAATCGATATCAATCTTTAGGCCTTGTACAAGTAACCTCGAGTCCGTAGACGAGACGCGGTAACTATAAGTAACGAGCTGGAAAAGATGACGCGTAGATGAGGGTGGTGGTCAAGGACAATGTCAATCAGACACCCACCTTATGTAAACGAGACGGAACCACGCGTATTCCATTTAGACCCCAGTTGAATATGGAGCAGAACAAGTTCGTGGTGGTCGACGTCATGACGTTGGTCACATCGTTGTTGATTAACGTTTGTCCGATCATAGACTCTTGTGCAGCTTCACCTCGAAAATCCAGCATCTTACACTTGCTCTGTGGCCGCTACACGTTCAGGGTGTCATGGTGTAGGAATGGCAGAGCCAGCGGGCTTCATTTAAGGTGTGTTTATTACGCCATTCTCGTTCCCACCAATTTGAACTAATTTGCCCTCATCGTCCGTCCCTCCGTTCTCCTTCCCCCACCATTCACCGAAACGCTGGCGCTGTCCTCGACACAACAAACGGATACGCACTGCGCCGGTTTAAAATCGAAAGCTAATTGCTTTTTTAGCAGTTCAAAAAACATAATGGGAAGCCGTCGCCACTTCAGCCATAGCGACTGGAATCCCCGTTGTTGATAATTACACATGAACATCACGCTGTATTCCTCTCCATCGGGACACCCTCCTCCCAACTCGAGACTCGAGCTTTGCATCGCACTTCGGAGTTGAAGACGGGCTTTGTCAATCTCATCTTGTCATCATGATCTTTCTCTCGCATCGTGAGTCTCTATCCTCTCGCTTCGAACCTTGCGTTCTTAAACCATTTTCTAGAGGTAAAAACCAACGAGACTGTCCTTTGTCGTCATCGCAGGCCTCAGCTTTTCCCTTCCGCTCTTTTTTTTGCAACATATCGCATTCTATATGCGGCCGCCAAAGCTTTATACCCATACCACGGTCCTTGTAACTACAGTTCCTCTCAGCGGTACGTCTTGCTTTGTCCTTAATCTACAGGATCGAGGTGACCTGACGTTTTGCAGAAGGTAAGGTATAGCCAATGCCCCCAAGCATTACGCTTCGCTGCTACAAAAACGGCAGCTCAATTTTCCTCTCTGTCCACTCACCCACACGAGCTGACAGGAATTTCATAAGCGGGATATGTTTACAACGAGGTTTGTCTGTTCATAATCGATCAATTAAGGGAAGTAGAACACACCTCCATATGTTCGTCCTTGCCGGTTCAACTCCTCTAAGCTGTAAGTCCCCATTCTACCATACCCAGTTTTTCATTCTGAATACTGTGCCAAATATGAGCCACTCAAATTATGAGCATTACTCTACCACAGGCCAGGCCGTCATACAATCTCATACGTCCGACCTGCCTCTTCTGCTTTGTACAGTTCTGGGATGTTGTGCACTGCCTCCCCTGTGCCTGTTCTGTGACGACCGTCGACATAACATCCTCTGCACTGTAAGTACCATGGAAGGACAAGGGCTCAGGTATTGAAGACGTGAGGTGGGGGGATTATATGAACACATGGTGGAAGGCAGCTGGAACAGATTGAGAAGGTTACAACCGCCATTACAAGGTAACTCAAATGGTGTGTTGGATTCTAGCAGTGTTCGTCTCCTTTTCATGTTCATGAATTTGTTCGTTCTCAAATCAATTTCATTGGTTTGCTGTTAATACTTTACAACTTAATGTTCATGAGAACTTCCTGCCCCGCAATCCAAACTCAGCTGCATGTGTGTATGTCAATGATTATTCGGAGATAATCTAACGATCACGTTACATGACGATAGTATGTAGACCGGGACTTTTCGTGGGTATGAGCTACCTAAACTATGTAACTGTCCCGCTGTTTATGCCCGCTTTCGTGACTTTCCGTTTGTAACACTAATCAGAACTTTCAGGGGGGCCCATGGCTTAACCCTTACAAGTGTAGGAACTCGATCGCTTCTTTTACTCTCTGAGCTACCTTATCACCGCACCTAGATCTCACGGCACACCATCATGTGGCTATCGCCGGCGGGCATTCTTGTGGGGAAACCCCCTAACCCTGTAAGACTAACCCCATTTGACCTTAGTTCTTTCCTCAAGCAGAGGCCTCACGCCCCCTTAGATTTTCGTTCAGGCCTAATCGTAGATGTGTGGAATAACCCAACCCTTCGGCATATTGGTGTTTGTTGATCGGCAAGGGGACTGGTTTACTAGCCTCGACTCCGTGATTTTCGCACATCATTTGTCAGCCACTAGGGCCTGTCCCAAGCCTTCCAGTCTGCTTCTTCGGCAAATCTTCTTTTTCCAAGATAAGAGGAGTAAACGTGGTTGTGATATCATTGTGATTGGGGGGCGTGGGTACGTCATATTCGGCATCAGGGTCTATACAACAGACCGCGTCACCTTCCCATACACCTGACCCGTCTCGGCGTCTCCCAGGGGCGTTGAATGCACATGGTGTCTAAGTTGTTTTCCACATGCGGGGGATCGAACTTGAGACCTTGCGGACCCAAGCCAGACAAACGATGGTGCCACCTGAGCCACCGTGCCCCCCACTCAGCTGCATAAGGGTTAAGTCCCAGTGCTTTTGATTTCCATGTTGTTTCCATGTGCACAAGACATTTGAATTATTTTTCTAGTTGACAAGTTGGAAGCGGACAATATTTTAAACAAGACAATGACTTAACAAACAGGAACTGGACTTGGTAATGCCAGGTGATGGCCCTCAGGCTCAAGGTAAGTTTTTAGTATTTACAATGCAGGCATTATGTGAAAACATACTGATACTATTCATAGTGCCGCATTCATATCAACAACAACTACATGGCCAGATTCATACCCCAAACATATTTGGCTGCCCCAAATTGAGCAACACCGAAAGTTGCGATATTGAGAGGGGATACAGCAGTCATGGTGGTTGGCCATTATCCAGTGACCATCATCTGATAACTTGGTGATGAAATTCATGCCGAGCTTAGGTTGCTGCAAGGGATAGATGATGTGGAATTTCCCAGGGGTAGATTCATTCACCCTACTGCCATCGGGCAATGTGGTGTCTGAAGTAAGTATTGAGTGAGAATTATCTGTTGTCATATTCCAAATTCGGACTGTTTTGTCCCATATTGATCCAGAGATGACTTGGCTGCCATCCTGCGAGAATGCAACAGACTTCACCAAATCTGTGTGGCCCTTCAGCTCAGCCTCCACCTTGCCTGTCATCACATTCCAAATTCGGACTGTTGTGTCATATGATCCAGAGACAACTCGGCTGCCATCCTGTGAGAATGCGACAGACTTCACCCAACTTGTGTGGCCCTTCAGCTCAGCCTCCACCTTGCCTGTGGTCACATTCCAAATTCGGACTGTTTTGTCAGATGATCCAGAGACAACTCGGCTGCCATCCTGCGAGAATGCAACAGATTCCACTGATCTTGTGTGGCCCTTCAGCTCAGCCTCCACCTCGCCTGTGGTCACATTCCAAATTCGGACTGTTTTGTCAGATGATCCAGAGACAACTTGGCTGCCATCCTGCGAGAATGCAACAGATTCCACTGATCTTGTGTGGCCCTTCAGCTCAGCCTCCACCTTGCCTGTGGTCACATTCCAAATTCGGACTGTTTTGTCACGTGATCCAGAGACAACTCGGCTGCCATCCTGCGAGAATGCGACAGAGTTCACCCAACCTGTGTGGCCCTTCAGCTCAGCCTCCACCTTGCCTGTTGTCACATTCCAAATTCGGATGATTTTATCCCATGATCCAGAGACAACTTGGTTGCCATCCTGCGAGAATGCAACAGACTTCACCGAATCTGTGCAGCCCTTCAGCTTAGCCTCCACCTTGCCTGTGGTCACATTCCAAATTCGGATTGTTTTGACAGATGATCCAGAGA